CAAAAGGCATTTAGATTTTCGTAATGATGCTGTCGCAGCAACTTTACATACGCGGCTTTGAGCGTGTGCTTTTCTTACACAATAATAATAATATTTATTCCCAAATAGTGCGTAGCCTAACGTCAGGCATGATCATAGCATTACAGTCAGAACAAGAGCATGACTGACTGGGGTTGCGATGAGTGGGAATTTCCTGGAAAAGAGACGGTGACGTAATCAGTGGTCATTAACGAAGTAGTCATCATCACACCAGAAGCATGAGGAGGGATCCAAAATTACAAGGGCTCTTTATCTCCTATAGCGAACATATCGGATGACACAAGGCCTGATCGTTAGGATTTAAAAGTGGCGGGCAAAAACAATACGAGAGAGGATATGTCAAAAAGCCTCCCGCCTTCAACGTGAGAAAAGATGCTTCAAACTGCAGGAAGTGTGGAGCCAGAATAATGGATCTGGGGAGCCAGCGGAACTGCCACTGGCCGGCCAATTTAAACTAAAGCCCAAGACCGTGATTAGGGCTTCTTGGCCTTAGGCTGTTGGGCGTACAGCCACAAAAAGCGTTCAATATACTGTGTGCATCCTTTCGTTCTTTCACTGAAAACACCAGTTGTGGAGAAACAGACCAAGAAACGAAGCCTCACCGACATTTCATTAGCTCAAAGCACAGTTGATCAAGTGTTGTACAGCAGTATGAAAACGACAATATTAGCAAAGGTTCTTGGAGTGCGCCACCAAAACGTTGCATCGAGGGCTCAATGTTAGCTAGCGTAACAAAAATTGCCAGAAACACGAATGCTTTTGCAACATATCTTACCCTGGTATTTAAACACTAAAATTTTGTGGATGACGTTCGAAATCGCCGCTCATTTTCTCCGCACACCAGTACAGTGGACTCTAGCAACAATACTCCTATACCGTTGGGACAGCAATCACACGATGGGGGGTTCTAATTTTTATCACTGCTGTAGGTGGTGATTACATCAGTTTTTTCCTGTTTTATCAATGATTATTCGACGCTTGGAACGACTACTTTATTAGATCTTCGCTTCAGTTATTGGGTAGCCTTATTACCAAATACTTAGGACCAGCATCCTCTAGACATTTGATAAGTTGCTGCAAAGTAAGTCCGCATAGTGGATACGCCGCTGAAAACCTATTTTTTTCGTGACAAATGAGAACAACTACACGAAATCAGCTGCAGCTTGTACACATTGCTGTTTATTACACAGAAACCCTCCCTGTCTTCTATAATAATAAAAGCTCTTGATTTTCTCCCCTGCCGGGTGTTAGGAAAGTATCAAGACAAAGACCCTGCCTCCACAAAAATAACCAGGCCGGCCGCCTATTGATTTTTCCAGCAATTTAGTGTACCATCCCGATTTGCGCGCAATACTTCAAGGGTCAGATACTTCGAATGGAGTTTTGTTTACTCGGATTTATAAATATAATATTGAAATACTAAAAAATTCGCTTTAAATAGTGAGATTAAGAGAGGAAGTGCAAATTCCAACTGGTATCCTGTACAAATAAACTAGTAGAAAAAATAGGCCCGCCTAAAGTTTGCATCGACTCAAGACATTGACCATAAGGTACGGGGTCTTTTTGTAGGTGACTCAAAGGTGGATTCAGTGGTAGACATTGTCGTGATGTCAGGGTGAACGATGAAGTGAATCCGTGGAACGAATGTGGATGTTTCAGTCGATTACAAAGGCGAACGCAAAGATTGCAAGAGTTATTGCTTCCGGTACTCAGGGAGCGCGTCATTGGATTGCTACGGAAAAGAAAGTACTTCGAGTATTGCATTCTACCACTCGGTTGCGACCGAAATGCGAATTTGAGTCCAGTAGCGATATCTTGATTTTCGATGTTTCGAAAGTGGTCCATCAAGTTTCATGCATCCCGCTTGACTCTTATGGGCTTCAACAGGAATTATACGTTCCGATAATATATAACTTTCAGAGAAATAGTGGGCACAAGTCTATATTGGAGTTCGTCAAGACTCTCTTTTGGGCCAATTCGCTTCCTGAATAACGCCAGCGACCTTCCGGGTATTCTTTGAAGTTCATGTGTACTATTTACGGGCGACTTAAAATCCTCGGGTTCAAATGTCGGTGCCCTCAAAATGGATGTGTACGGTGCAAAGAAGTGATTGTTAAACTGGTAACTTCCTCTGAATGGCGATAATCGGGTCCATATATCATTCAGAGAAGACGCAGGGGGCGCCAATATCGCTTGGGGAGAATGAACCAAAAGTCGTTTGGAGGATACACAATAAAAAGGATTCATGTATCTGGCTCTCTTCATGCTTGCGCTTCTCACCGCACCATAAAAACTTCGCCCAAAAGGCATCTGGCGCTCCGCATAGTAACCGGCACATCTTCCCGTATTATCCGGACGGACTTTCAGATTCTATGTGACGCATACGTCAGGCCGCTTCTCGAATATGGCACTAGATGTACCTACGCAGGACACAAGAAAGACGCGACCCACATTGAGCGTTTTCAAAGAGCTGATTCGAAAATTGTTACCGGCTTGAGGCTGGATTTTGAGACGCCGTGGATTGCAAAACGGGTCTCGCTGTGTTTGATCCATTTCCCTCGGGTATTTTTACCCCGGGGAGACCTAATACTCACCTACGCTCCGTTTGAACAAGGTTTGATCAATGGATCTTTCACTGTTGACCTAACCAATACATACTGGACATATGGTTTGAAGATTTTCAGTCTTGGAGAGCACGATTTCTAGGAGACCATTTTTTTTCGATTCGGGCAGCTGATCCATTAAACAACCTTCCTCCGACAGTTATTAACGGTGCACTAAGTACCCAATTTCAAGCACTTTCGGACCCTTCCTTATGTAAGCCTTTGAGCTGGCAATCTCAACGTCTAGCGCCGAGAATATTAAGAGCAGCGCTACACCATTTTTGCTCGTGCCTTTTATCCAAACAGAAGCCGCCGAACGGCAACCAAAGACCAGAACTTGATGGCACGTGCGAAAGTCTCGATCCTGTGTGTCAATCTATGAATATGTGATTCCGTGATAACACGACTACGGCCCTTGGCGTTCCACTGGTTCACATGCCTTCTCCTTGAGGGACAGGAACGGATAACTCAGGAGAGACCCGATATTAGTATGCACGTTTGTATTCAAACCCAGTTCATCCTCAAGTTCAGTCTTGTCAAGGCGTAACGACAAACGGCCTCAAACCGACTTGGTCTTCACGGTAGGAGATATTCGTCAACTATTGCACAAGATCAACTCATCCTGCGCTTTGGGGAAAGACGTGGTCCATCCAGTGATCCTGAAGGAAACGTTGCCTACACTGGCAAATAATTTCTACCCGGTGTTTTGTCAGTCGCTTGACGAAACCGAACTTCTCACTGCTTGAAAGGAAACAATTGTGACACCGACTTTCGCCTGGCAGCTACAGGCCCATAAGTCTAACTAACGTGCCATGCAAGGTGATGGAACGCATTTTGAAGCGAGCTATTCTGGCTCATCTTACTTCCAACAAGTTAATATCTCCGGCTCAACAATAATTTCCCCAAACCGTTCTTGTGTGGGAAACGTGCTCGTGTTTATGGACAGCTTTAATCACACCAAAGATGAGGGACTCATATCGGATGTCCTATTTTTCGACTTCTTAAAAATCATCTGAACGGGTCCCGCAAGTCCCGCTGCTCCACAAACTCGAGTCTTACGAGATTCAAGGGAAAATCTTACGCTGGATCGAGGCGTCCCCATTAGACGAATCATCTCAAGTGATGATAGGCTCTACCTACTCTTCTTCAGCGGCTGTCTCAATTGGAGTTCCTTGGGGCTCCGTTTTGGGACCACTACTGTTTCTGATATAGGTCGACGACCTTCCAGATGTTCCCGCAAATCCACGTCTACTTTTTCGGATGAACTGAAACCCTGGAGTTCCAATGCCAGTGCCTCCCAAATGGATGTTGACGCTGCAGATCAGTGGTCGTTGGCTGGCACCTTCCTCTGAATGACGAAAAGTGCGACCATGTCATTTGGAGGGGACTCAGCGAATGCCTTTGTCATGCATGGTGAGAAAAGACCAGAAAACTTCATGAGGATAGACGCCAAAAAGGATTTGGGTATCTGGGTCTCCGCAAACTTGTCCAGGAGAAATCGGCCCAAAAGGCATTCGCTATTCTACGGACGATCCGACGCACCCTCTCCCGTAATACTCGCATGGACTACCTATTTGGTAGTCTACAGGGCCTACGTCAAACCGCTATTCGAATACGCCAACCAGGACCCACGAAGGACGTCAACTCCATTGAGCGTGTCCAGCGAGCCGCTACGAAAGTATTTCCCAGCATCAAATCCGTGGGCTACGAAACGCGTCTCGCGATGCTTGAACTCTTTCCTCTGGAGTACCGTCGCCTCCGAGGGGAACTAATGCTTACTAATGTTCTATTTGAACGAAGCTTGGCCAATGGGTTTTTCACCGCTCGGCAAACAAACACACGGCAAGGACATGATGAGAAGATATTAACACTCGGAGTGCACACATTAATTGAGCAAATTTTTACACATTTCGGGTAGTAGCTGCGTGGAGTGACATTCCTCCGACGGTTGTCTATGCTCGCTTGAGAACTCAGATTCTTACTTATACGAGTTCTCGCGCTGGCAAGTATTCTGTTCCGCGCTGAGAACATAAACAGCAGTGCTACACACCCTCCGGGTGAACGACAGACGCTGAACGACAAGAACAAAACCGACGCGAGTAATTGGGCAAAAGCCTCGATCCTGTGTATCAATCCCTGAACCCATGAATGCCTATTATTGTTACTACAGCTGTATCTGTTTTTGATCGAATTAGCAGCTCTGTGAGGCAATCTTTGGGATCTGTATCGACCTTGAAGCCTGTCAGTTTTCCTCAAAAAATTCTACTTACCGAATGTTAGGAACGAAAGTGAACTGAGTCTTTTGTTTGAGTGAGCAGATGCTATGACCACATTCAAACGTGAAATTATATGAAAAATCTCATGTGGATTTCCATGTGAATCATTGTCAAGTAGTTCGGGAGCGGTTAGTGCTAATGATCACGACTCGTGTCACTGGTGCGTTGTTTCCCCTGGCAGTATAAATCTGCATAGCCTTTTTCTTGGGCACGTCGTTTAAACAGTCACTGATTTTTTATGGCCTTGTAAATGTTGTCAGTGAACTTTTCGATGTGCCTCAAAGATTTCATTGTCTGTCTGTCGTAATCCTACCCAAATACATCCAACTACAAGTCATAAGTGACAGAACACTACGTCGGTTTGCCAACCTTGAATCATCACACTTCAAACTGTTGCTTCGCCGACGTGCAACCGCATTCATTCGATTATATTCAGGTTTTCATGCGAAAGGAGGTGAAAAGAGTGAGCGAGGAAGTATTTTTTTTGTCGGAAATTCGCACAACCGTTCCGAAGTGCGAAGCGCTTAATCAGGCAATCGGCATGGAAACTGATAACCCGAACGTGACACGAATGACATTAGCAGCCATATCTTGCAGCATCTCCAACCAAGTGGAGTGGGGATCACGCGGTCCTCATTCTGGAAGGTGAATGGCATCGACAGTACCCAAACCTTTCGCAGTCTCCTTCATATCTCTCTGCCAGGTCAAGGTTTGGCCACCTATTTTCTTCGCCGCTCTGAGTTGGGCATGGAAAACACGCTTTCTTCTCTGGCATACGCAATATATGTCTCAATCAACGCAGCTTCTGGTGTTGGACACACTGTTCAGTGAAGGCGTCCGTTACACAGCCGAGCGATTGCTTCCTAATCCCCTAGTTACTGATTCGCCTATACCAACCCACACGAGCTACGGTACTGGGACAACGATTGTCGAACGCCCGAAGACTTCTCAGTACCTTCGCTCGAGCAGGAAAAGTCTCACATCCATGCAGAAAAACAGCCCGCACTGTAGCTTGATACATACGCCCCTTGAGATTCAGGAATATACCGCTTTTACGCCATAGGTGCCTCAAATTAGCAAACGCAACCCGGGCCTTGCAGATTCGTGCACTGACCTAATCTGTCACACTACAAACAAAAGTACTACAACTTCCAAGGTACGTAAAACGCTCCACAACTTGGGGTGCCTCCCCCTCTATTGTAAGTGACGTGACCAGTGACTATATGTCTGGCCACAAAATGCAAACCAAAGGACGGGACGGATCCCAAAACACCTGCAATTTCTTATCTTCGAAGACCCCATGAGCCTCTCGGTGATTAGACATGACAGTTACAGTTTGTGTACAGAGCCGCCGCAGCGGGCAAGCCCGCCAGTGAGGACCGTAGGGCTACTTCTAAGGAAGGCAGGGATCGAACTTAGCCATAAACGACGAATAGTGAGGCTATCGATTTGGATAATCATCAGTATTAAACACCGATACTTCACTGACGTACAGTCGCATTTTGTTTGAGATTGATTGGGAAAGAATAATAGATGAGAAAAGGGTACGGTATCGACCTATTATTCGCAGTCTGAAGTGCCTACACCTCCAGACATTCGTTCAGAAAATCTCAATAGAAGGTGACAACTAGAAGGCCCTTGAAGTAGCCATATGTTGGAGTGCACCCAACTATGGACAAGGTATGCCACGTGGAACTCAAACCGAACGGCGAGTCGTGATGCGGGCACGACTCCTGATGTAGCCGGATCAGGAGTGAGACAGTAATTCCTTAGTCCCTGCGCCCTCGGGTTAGGCCGACTCCCTTCAGCCGAACAGGTCAGGGTATTGAATCATCGGCTCCGGACAGGGTCCCCATAGAGAAACTTACTGTCCCTGCCTCGTGGGTCAGACTTTTGAGTCAGAGGCTAGGACCAGGGTCCACGAACAAAACCTTACATTTTCTCACTGTCTTCTGGGTCAGACTTTTGAGTCGAAGACTCAAGGTGTGGTAACTCAGTCAAGCCCCCTTCCTCGGCCCGAGTAACCGGGAAGCATCATTTGCCCGCGCAGTTCGGTGTCAACTGATATCCCTCTCCGGTCCCCTCTTACCACACAAGCAAACTTTGCTAGGTCATTTAACTGTCAGTTATCTAACCGAAGGGCCTTAAGCTCCTCGCTGCCTAATAACAATGAACACAATAACACCTTTCTAAATCCACGATATCCTTTCTATGTAGAAGCTTTTAACATCCGTACTCTACGTCAAATTGGCAAACGGGCAATGCACACTGAAACCCCATATTTCTTTGCACTCAACCAAGCTCAATATCTCGACATAAAAAGCGGTGCCTGTTTGTAGTATTGGCCCCAACGGACTGTAGTTCTGATGCTGAGAAGGATACTTTCTATCAACAGCTATCTGGGCTCATCCTTCAAGCAAAAAGCACTGACATTGTGATACTGGTGGGAAATATGTATGCTCAAGGAGGTCGTCTGAGCTCCTTGGAATCACATTTGGGCGGTCGACTCGGAGTCGATGCTCGTTGCACAGACAACGGAGACTCCTTCAATTGTGTGCTGATCATCAGCTGTTTCTGACCAGTACGAACTTTAAACATAAACGTTCGCATCTCGTAACCTGGCGGCCACCAACTGTAAAACAACCGCGGACTCAGTTGCATCACGTGGCCATCAGCCACCGGTGGAGAGCCAAAATACAGGACTGCCGTTCCTTCTGGGGCACACAACTTGATTCCGATCACGCTATGGTGCGTGCTCGCCTGTCAGTTCGTTTTCCTTCAGGCCCATGCAAGGCAGCAAGAAGCATGCCAATTCATTATCTTCGAAGACGGGCGAGATGGCCCAAGTGGTTAGCGCGAATTCACTGACCGGAAGGCCCGTGGTTCGAATCCCACCTCCGTCACTCGACTTCCCCTGTCTAGGCATGGGCAACCTGGCAGTATCCCAGCCCTCGTGCTTGCTTCTGGTGGCATGGCAGCTAGGCACCGGAAGGGTGCTACAGCTGAACGCTTTCTTCCTTCTATCTTCGAAGAAAACCATAGCTCAGCAGTATCTATCTGAGTTAGCCCAACAACTCTCTACAGTAAACCAATACTGTGGTGGCAGTGAGCATTTTAATAAAGCGTGGCAGAATGTGAAAGGAGCTATGTTAGCGGCGTTCAGTGCTCTGTCTGACTTTTCCGACTCGGCCACAAGACCACTGGATATCATCGAGATCGCTATCCATGACCGATGCCAGGAAAGCCGTACTAGCAGACAGCGAGTACGACGGCGTACGCAAATTCCTAAAACGCCAAATAGTGAAGAGTCTAAGGAAAGACCGAGAGCTATGGTGGACATCGAAAGCTCCAGAAATGGAGAGGGCTTCTGCTACGCGAAACAGCCGTACTATCGACTGGCCCTAGGAAAACAACAGTAATCAAAACGAAAGTGGAAAAGGTGACTTATTAGTTTACTCGCAAAACGTCGACTGGAAGTATGGACCGAACGTTTCGAAGGACAGTTCAGCTAGTCTTCTGAAACCCAGCCGGTGGAGCTAGTGCATACGGGCGAATAGAATGTACACCTTGATCGCCCGTCGAAAGAACAAATAAAATGCGAAATATCCGTAATAAAACATAAGAAGACACCATTACCAGACGGTCTGTATCCGACCCTCTTCAAAAAAGACGAAGAATCCTAGGGCATGAGTGCCAATACTGATGTTACGGCCTTCGATGATGATGGTGACCCATCTGATAAAGATTATTGGTGCCATACTGAACGAAGAGAAGGTGCCTGCAGAATGCGGCGTGTCGACAGTTATTTTCATCTTCAAAAAGGTTACTCGGACGCTGTGTGAAAATCACCTTGTCATCATCCTATTAGCTGTGGCATCGAAAATGCTCTCTGGTCTTATCCTTCGAAGGCTGACTGAACACAGTGAGAGACAGATCCGTGAAAACCAAGCTGGTTTTCGTCCTGCAAGAGAATGCACCGACCATATCTTCACTCTGACAAATTCTGGAACAGCGACACTGCTTCCATCAGCCAACAATGGTTGTTTTTCTTGATCTGAAAACTGCCTTTGACTCTGTGGACCGTCGGGCACTATGGCAGTGTCTGCGGAGTAAAGGTGTCCCCCCACAAATTCTTGACTCTTCTTGAGGCGCTGTACACCAACTCCCACTGCCGTGTGAAAGTCTACAAGAAGCTCTCACCTGAGTCCACCACATCAAAAGGTGTCAAACAGGACCGTCCTCTTTCACCTTTCCTCTTCAACTTCGTCATTGATACGATCATGGATCGAAGTGCTCCCAGGGCGTCCGCTGACAGATACCGAGCACGCAGACTACAGCTCTTCTGGGATCTGCCCCACGATATGACATGCGCTTCACACTTGCAACGTGTAAAGTGCTACTACAAGACTGGGTGTGTTAGTGCTCTATTTGTGACGTAATTAAGTTGATTATCAGAAGGTAACAATCACTAACATGTGTCTTACTAGGATGTGATGAATGCAGTAGTTAGGTGCACTTGATAAAAATAGTCACAATGCGAAAAGTGGAATAAGCCAAAAAGTGACTTATCGTTTGAGGACACTTTTTGAGAGTTCCTGAGTGACGTTCCGGACGTGGGACGTATCTTCTCTGCAGTATAGCTGCTACATGTGTTCCGTAGTTGTCCGTGGAGACTTGCGGAGCTATGTTGACTTCCTCTCCAGTGCGCTCGAGTGTGTGTGTGTTGATCCTAGTTGTATGCCTATTTATTGTCTGCATCTAAGAGAGGGGTGTCCCTTCGTGTTTGATACTTGCACCAGCATGAATACAACTTGACCTGATGTGTTGAATGGAGTTCATAATCCTGGCGCGTGACACAAGTGGTAGCTGCGTAAACAAAAGTGGTTGGGAAGTTTTAGTGTACATGTTGTCGGCTAAGGTTGCAAGTGGGATAGGAATTGTCACGTGGTTTGAGTGTTTGTGACGCGTGATCTGATTAATGGCCTCTACAGGTGAATCCTAGCCTCATGCTTGCGGATGGACCGAATGAGATAGTACTCAAATTTGTTTACCTTGGCAAGTGTATCAGTCCCGGTGGTCTCGTGAAAGATGATATTTCCATTCGCATTGAGAAGGCCACATAAGCTTTTGTGAACCTACGTCACTTGTCGCTCAGGAGTGACATCACCTTATCCGTCAAGAGCCCAGATAAGCAATACTGAAGTACGTCGAATGGCATTCGGAAGAATTAACTCACATTCGATGGATGAACGGGTCATGGCTTGGGTTGTGGTGGCTACGTGTTGCTTATGCCAGTCGACCGACTTTCTCGAAGGGTTCCTTTCGCACAACCACGTGAGGGGTAAGGGTATAAAATCTATCAGCAAACTCAGCTACACTGGTACTTAACGTCTTTCCGGCTGGGGACCCCTAAACAGGCCACATCAATGGTTAGAAACATTGTCAGACATGGCCCAGTCGCGCCCTCAGTGGCGCTCTTTCATCTAAGCTATTGTCTTCAATGCATAGTTCCCTCCCTACTCCTCCACTTAACGATCTATTGCCAGTCCGGTATCTACGCACCAATTTATCCATCATCATCATCGACATCATGACATCAGTGTGCAACACCGATGCTTCACTGCCGTAATTTATCCGCTCCCGCCTCCAATACGAAGTTACCTACCCTACTTTCACAAATCATCGGTGAAAAAACTGTGGCAGCTCCAACCGTTGTACGACAAGTACGCGGTTCTTACAGCTGAAAATCATGATGGTGTAAAACTTAGCCTCCATTTTTCAAACTGTCTCGTTGCAGGTTAGTTTTTAATAGCCTTCATAGCCCATGGTTCTGAGGCGACGGTTGTCAAAGACCGAAATATATTATTTCAGCTGTGCGCAGGGACCACGCCTCACAACCTTATAACGAAACAGCCGTTCTATAGTCTACAGTTTTGCCGGTACGAGTGCCTCAGAAATTTGAAAATTCCACCTGAATCCTAGAAATTCATTCATTGACTTCATCTGTCACACTGCCAGCGGAACGCACACAAGTTTCAAGGCATGAAAAGGCTCCGCACTCTTGAGTACTCTAAGTGTGCATTCCATGATGATATCTATAACAAAACTGAGCAGTGAGCGTGAGGTCAACCTTACCAAACCCAATAATTGCGAAGGAAAATTCTGCTCACGTTGCTTAGGCGTTGGAGCAACGCGATATGAACAGACGGCTCACAGTTTTTGTATTCCTTGAATTTAAGGATGCTTTGAAATCTGTCGATGTCAGTGTCGCCAATCACACTTGCTCAATAGGCTATGCCGCGGAAGTTTGTGAGCATAATCAGGTCCCTATATTCACATACTTTTGGGCGTGTCAAAGTGTATGGTGAGCTGTCCAAAAGGTTCCATACAAAATGTGTCCAACAAGGTTGTCCGTCGTTTCCGTTCTTTTTCAACTTCGTCCTCAACTAAATAATGAGAGGAATGCTAAAAGGTCTTCAAAATACGATGTTCGAATTGTTGCTGGTAAGAACCTTGTCGAAGACAAAGATCAAGCACAAGCACTTTTCAATAAGCTGGCCATCGTCATACCCTCTTTCAGCATGCGTCTTGTGCCTTCAAAATACAAAGTCATGCTTCAGAAATTGCGGTCTCTAAACATGCCCTTTATGATTCAGCGGGAATCATTTGCTGTTGTGGCGAATTTTACATACCTCAGTGGTTGTATTAGATCTGACGTAGGTGCTTCTGATGGAGTCGGTGCACGAATCTCAAAGCCCGAATGACGTTTACTAATTTGCGCTACTTGTGATGTCAAAAGAGATGTCACTTGGTCACAAGAGTTGAATTTACTATGCCATATTAAAGGCTATATTGTTGTATGGTTGCTGCAGAGAAATGATATGAGACATCTTCGGTTTTCTATCACAGGTGCCTCAGAGGCGTAGAAGGTGTCTTAGGGCGTCAACGGGGGCGAGATGGCTCGAGTGGTTAGAGCGCGAATTTACTGACCGGAAGGTCCGCGGGTCGAACCCGACCTCCGCCACTCGACTTCCCCTTTCTAGGCTTGGGCAACCTGACAGTATCCCAGCCCTCGTGCTTCTCTCGGGTGGCATGGCAGCTAGGCACCGAAAGGGCGCTACAGCTGAACGATTATTATTATTATTACGATTAGGAAACGAACATTTAATGTTGAGAAACATCCAGCAACACCAACTGCGGTTGTTCGGCAACGTGTTACGCATGCCGAAACATCGTCCATCGAGACGGGTGTTGTGTTTCATTCCTCATTCTGAATGTCACGAACCGTGAAGTGGACAGCGTATGACTTGACAGAAGGCTGCGAAAGAGACTACGAAGATTCCTTTTGTTATTGGTTCGGTCCGCCTTCTAGGATAGAGTCTCCGTGCTCCCCGCGCTTGGTTGGAAATATTGTAAGAAATGGCGGGTGACCATGACCTACACAACTAACAATATTCTCATGCCACAACTCTCTCCAGATTGCCTGATTGAGCGCTTGGTTCTGTACGCACCGCATAATGCTTGCGATAGGGCTGTACCATGTCGCCTTCTACAACCACTCCTTTTCATTCCAAGGCCTCAAGTATAAATAGCCATGCTCATGGTTGCACGGCGTTGAAGCATTAGTGTCAGCACTGTTGTTTCTATCTCTGATGAAGACGATTGTATGAGAGACATTAACCCGTGGACAACCGTCGGGATTCAACGCTCTAGATGCTATATTGTCCACTTCTTCAGATAGTGCCATATAACTATGCGGTCTATATTTTTAGTGCTTCTTGACTTCAAGAACATTTTTAATCTTGAGAGTCTGTCAGTTGTGGTCAAGCTTGTTCCTCCGAGAATGTTCCAGAGGTTGCTGTTTTCCTTGTTGACGTACTTTCAAGGGGAGTGGTTCAGGTTGTATGGTAAAGATTGTTTTTCATCTTAGCAATTGGTGAAGTGGTAGAATGGTTCCAAAATGTCTTGTTCGAACCGTTAAACGTGGTAACTCCGTTTACTTCAGTATTGTCACCTTCAGCCATAAAACCGCGTAGATGTCACGTAGTGGTCATTACTGCCACTGCGTTAACCGATGAGGGTGGGTGTGATATTTGATAATTGATGCGTAAATAGGTGAATCTCAGATAACTTCTCACTGGGTTATCGGGAGAGGAGCTATGAGTTAAATGCGATATCTTGGACGCATGCGCGTCATTGAGCGCGTTGCGTTGCGCTGTCCTTAAAAATCTAGCTATCTTTTCGGAATATCCATCCAGGGAGACGGTAATATCCAGCGCAGCTGATTTTTCTGGGAATGACTCATTCTTTGCTGCTAAGTAATTGCGTGACCTCCCCCTGACCCTTTTCCACCATTCGCGTGGTGGTCTGAGAAAGGTTCTCTGAGGGAGCCGGCTAGACCGGCAAACGGTGCACGTCATGTAGATATGGTGACAATCCAGATTGACTTGATGTTGGAAGTGCGGGTAGCTCGGATTTTTTTGTGACGGGGCAGCATCAAGTCCTTTTTCTCTCCCGCACATGGGGCTCTTTTCAGACAAACTGACTTGCGTACATGCAGACGATACTCCTATGTTTACCAGGTAGTTTGCAGTCTGTTATTGGTGACGATGCGAAAGGAAGGCCTAAAGGAGAATGCAGATGATAGGAGGTGGAGGGATAGGCGTCTGATGAAGGTCCTAGTGTTGTCCTAAATCAGTGATATTACTTAGTACGGGTTCGGTACAACCTGCCATGTAGTGATGAACCCAAATCCAAGTGGAATGCACCCGGCGGTGCTAACAACATAGGGCTCTAAACAGGAATACAATTGTGCAAGACCAATCTACGGATTTGTTCTGACAATAATTCATACAGACGTACCAGCCTACTACGTCCCTCTGTTTGTGGTGTCAGAGGTTTGCTAATCATCACTTCAGTACGCTTGGTTAGTGGCTTTAAGGAAAATTCTAGCTTCGATTTAGTCTTACATTTTAGTGCTTTTCTCATCCCTCTTATCTTTTGGTTTTCTCTATATCAGATCTGTATAATGCCAATCAACCCTGCGTTGAAGTTGAAACTGGACGAACTGTTCTTAAGATGGCTCACAGATCCTGCCACACAAAAAGTTTTACATGAAAATTTGATCCAAATCAAGGCAAATGAGTCACTTCAAACCATGCTTGCTGTCCCAAGTGGAGTGGTTGTGGGGCCAATGCCTTCTTCGTTCTATAGTTTTTTCTACGGTAGCCTTGCTTGTGATTCCCCCGGGCCGCCTACAGATGGCGTTCTCGGAGTCAACGGCACTATGGGTTCTTTGGTCTCCCCAAGACCCAACACACCACCCTATTTTCCACAACCTCCACATACAAAGATGTTCAGTCCAAGATCGCCCAGACGGCAGGCCCCATCTTCAGCTCAACCTAACGCCTCCGCCAAAGTGAGTTTCGATCGCTTCGCTGCATACATATATATGTGGATTTTTTGCGGTGGGATATGAATAGTTCCATTTTCGATGCCAGTCACTTTCACATTTCATGTCGACCGTACGGATTTGCAGGACGGGTTTATCCCTGTGCACGTGGCTTCCTAAACGGTAGACATAACGATGAGTACGCTATCACCGCATACCATATATCAGCCCGAACAATTTCCGAAGAAGGCGTGTAATCGATGAAATTGAGAATAGACCTACTGTATGAGCGCGACTACCGAATTTTCGCAAGGTCATGCCAGATTGCCCACTTAAGCTAATGACTCGGAGTGATCTGTGTCCCACTAACCCTTTTTGTAGCAACTTCGCCGACGGACACAGGTAGGTCCAACTCCGAACGCTTGCAGAAATTAGTTTCTCGTCAGCGATCGCATGATACTGTCTTCTTTTTTGGAAAGATACAACGCTAAGGGGACGGCCGTTGCGGTTGGCGCGTTGGCATCGTCTAATGAATTGGAAACGCACCTTGTTTCACCCATATTATTCAACTTTTCGATGCAATGTACCCTAACGTGACTGCCGCTACATTTAAAGGCCTATATGGATCAAAAAGCGAGGTTTGAGACAACGATGACTTGTGATTGGTGAGCTGTCCCAAGTTGGCGCACCGTTTCTTTTAGCGCGTACGGCAGTGAAACATCAGTGCCAACGCTGATGTTGCTGTCTTTGATGATGATGGTGGTGATCTTTTTGCGCGACCCATGCTCCAGTAAGTTGAAGTAGTTTCTTTGGTAGTTGTTTGTCTGCGCTAAGAGGTTCTTGCCATCCCTTACCAAAGGACCTCGGATTCATAAAGGAAGCAGAGATCACGACACAAAGTGTCATTTTTAACGATAAGCTGACATATCATTATATTCGAGCTACAAGATGGCCTTGAGTATCCATAGCAATGACTTCTTCATATGTCCTATTGAATTTCATGTTTGAAGGACGTTACGGAGTCTATCTGGTGCTCACTGTCCATCTTATATTTTTTATTATATCTGGCACTCGCGATTTAATTTTACTACAATCTGTAGCGAGTGTGTCCTTTACCGCTAAAACATTCTGCTAAATGTGCTCTTCATAGGGTTCATTGTTCACTCTGGTCTGCACTTCAGGCGGAACGGGAGAAAATTCTGGTCTTTCTAGTTCTCATACGTTCTGCTTTGTTTAACAACCCTTAAACATCACGTGTTTACATCGAATTGCGCTCCCATCTCTGATCTGCACAAATCCCTATGCTTAGCTGTGGCTAGCTTGAATCATTGTGCGTTTTCTGTTCACCAATCCATTACACCAACACACGCTGTGGGAAATCTCAGCTTCAAGTTGAGTTTCAAAGCCTGAAGCCATTAGAACAGAGTACTTGGCTTTCCAGGTTTACACCGATCGTGTCCTCCGATTTTTTCTGCATTGCCTATTTGGAATCAATGGTTAGCTTCCCCGTGTTTGTGGTACTGTTGGTTAGACCAACTTATTGTACCTTTATTTTGCGTGTGGGCCTGTCATTGTTTTTTAAAAACAGATGAAGCTCTCATTGGCTTCGATGTTTCCATGGTTTTCGAAAACTCGTTATTCCTATTTTGTCAACGTGGTGCAAGGTATATCGGCACATAGTACAATCATATTCACCTGGTTTACATCGTTGCCATTTATTTTCCAACTGTCCTTCAATCTTTATGCTTTTCTTTTCCACTCATGCAACGTTTGCTACACATATATGTACTTGTTAAAATATGTATGCAGCATATTGCATAGGGGCCCATGTACCACTCAGCCTGGTACACACGTGTAGGGGATAAAAATTATATGCTCACATGGTCGAGGATAGAAGTCTTACGGCCACATCGTTGAGAAGCTCCGTTTACTTTAAGATGGGTCATCTCTCTACGGGTGTAGAAGATAGAGATACTCAGTTTCAAAGACTAGGATTCGGTTAACCTGATTAGGAGAAGGCCGTGGAGAAGTGACATTAGCCTAAAAATGAATTCCGGTGTGAAGCTTGCTATAACCAGCTGTTTATTCACTCAAGTAATATCACGCACATTTAAACTGTCAAGCCAAACAGATCGTCTGAAAGTTACCTGCAAGCCTTTCAGGGTCCAACAGTACCCTTACCTTAACATTAGGTTAAATTTCAAGCTCATGGCTTGTTACTTATCAGGTCTTCTGTGAGGATAGCTGAAATGAACAATATGCCTATTCATGGGTAATCAGGCGGCTAATCATGACACGTGANCCGGTATAACTCATGTCTATCTGCTGAACCCCAGTAAGGACGAACAGAAGTGTATGACTGAGCTCTCCGGAAACCACAGAGACTCAAGATATTTCAAAGGGATTTTTCCGATTAATCCCTCACACCAATTGAGTGTCACTAGGGATGTACCCCCGGTTCACGTACAACTAAACATTACTTTGAATAAAGCAAGGGGGCAGTGACTTTTAAACTTTCTGGCAGTCAGTTTTTTCTCAAAGATTGCAGTCATTGGTTCGCAGTAGATTTGTTCTACATTCTTACCGTCTCTACTTGTTTACTCCGTTTGCCGATAGTTTGAGTTAGGTTATCTGCCTGTGCGTACTCTCGGAATGCAAACGCCACAGCATACAAGCCGCCATCTGATTTCTTCGACCAAGCAGACATATGTCAGAACAGTCCTTTAGTGTAAGCGATGGTAGCTCCATAACCGTATGAGTGTTTAAACAGCAGGACTTTAGCAAATGCTTAGCGCTGCTAGTCCTAGTACCCCTGTATCGGTTATCACAATTCCGTAAAGGGACAGAATGGACAGTATTTGCTGCTCTGTTTCTTTAGAAGCATGGACATTTATCCTCCGCGCTACGATGTCTTGTCGATAGATATGAGTGTATTTTATCCCTGAGTCATTTCGATTCTGCTTTGAATCATCCGGTAAAAAACAAAAGCATAACCAGCCTAAACTCACGACTTCCGGATATTGAATGATAACGTTAGAGTTATCCCATTCTCTGGAGCACTTCATGTCCTATTCGAAAAACTGTGCGGTTCTCGGTTTGGTTTCCGATTAGGTGTATGCACTGTTCAATCTCGTCTTTCGGTTACTCATTCTCCCAACACCATCATCAGAATTCAGCCATGATCGTTTCGCGTGCTGAGTTTAAAGTTTATCACCGGCAAGTAGTTTGTTTTATGACTTCGATATCCCGCATCGAATTGAGTAAGTGACTTGTCATTCCGATTGGTGATCGAAGTCACATTGCCCAGTTGCCATAGGTCCTGTTGGGCACTTAAGTTATGCTTTCAGTTTGTTCTCACTTGAGTCTCCGAAACCACTCTTCATTCCTTCAACCTCTTTGGTCCTCCTTTTCTGTGCGGGTACTATCACCTCTCCATCATATTGGGCTGATAAACTGGGCTGGTAAACCAAAACTCACCCTCACACCTTATTTCCAAAGCTACTCATGAGTAGTAACGGTGTCTCGTTGGCCTTGAGATAGGTCAGTTGCTGAAGTGTAGAGCTCTCGAAAACACCTGTTGACAAATTACTGTTTTTTGATTAACTATAAAAGTTTCCACACAACTAGCATGGTTCGCCGGAGTCATCTTTCCTACTTTTGTTCGGTTTTATCGTTGACACCATGAACAGAACTCTACACATAGTTGCAATCGGTGTCGAAAAAATTTTGACAGACTTTATGCGGACCTTCGTGTTTTCTTGTCTGAGGATCATATATCCGGACAAACCAGTCTAATTAGAATGTCGGAACCGGTTCCTCATTCTGGCATTAGTTTTCTATCCTTTTCTGTCTCGTCGGAACTTGAGTCCTGGAACCTGTGTTCATTGGTCGGCATCTTGACTACAGGGCAACCGACTGTACTATAACAGATAAAGTCGATGCATTCATTATCGAGAGGAAAACACATTGGTCAAATTGTGTCACCTCTGTTGTCAGAAAAGAATTTCGCTGGTGCCGAAGGTCCATGTTTACAAACGACAGCCAAAACAACCTAACAGTAGGACTTGTTCTGTCCGAGCCCAAAACCTCAAACGTCTTCTGATAGTTGATCGTGGACGTCTTCATACTGCAGCAAGCGTTATCAGGCTGCAGCGTATCTGTACTAGATGGCTCGTTGGAGTAGCCGTGTCAGTAGATAACGTTTGTCTTTGCCGCTTCCTTTGGTTTCTCTCACCGTAGATCTTAAGCAAGTTAACCATTAGCATTTACTGCTTGTGCGTTGCTTGTCACGATGGTACTAATGAGGCAACTGAGTTTCATTCAAAGAAAACAGTTCATGTTAATTGTTCCTGCCAAGAGGTAACATCCCAGAGAGGAGACATTCGAATACTTTCCAACCGGCAGAGTGCCCTGTTGCATTTTCGCGTGCGTCTACCACAGACTTAACCTCGAACCGTTTATGTGGGTGTATCCTGACTGTGTTCTTATTAACTTCGCAGTGATTGAAGAAGTTGATTGTGTTGCAATTGTGCCATGTAGATTACTTTCGCTCGTTGGTATACATTCACTTTAGGCTATCAAAGAATGGTTCTAGGGCAAGTGATTGCAAACAGATAAGCTCGAAGTTCTTTTCGTTTCGACAAATAGCCTGGTGCCTATGGGCATGTTTTGTGCCATACGGTATGTCTAGACGCAATGGTAAGAAGCTTAGTCTTGCAACAGGGTTACTTTGTGTGTCAACCTATCCTATACCGAACATTGACGTTGTCCCTTGCGTGACCGAGGAAGACGTGTGCTCCACACCGTCTTACCCGGTATCGCCTCGGATATAATAGGATGACTAAATGGCCATGAGCCGTTTACGTCTGAATGAAAAAATGAAGGGAAAAGAGGGATCCTTTGATAGGCAAACCTTCCTACTAGCAGTTCCACAACTTAAAACTGAGCTTCATTGAAATTGGACGACCATCGTTGTTTATGTTACAAGTGTTCCTCAATCCTTGAGGATGTGTTCGTTCCGAAAGTGATCCGTGCTATAGGGGCTCTGGTAATGAGGCGCTGCCCCGAGTGCACCCCTGGAGGCGCTG